GCGTCCGCTTGGACCCAAAACTTGACTTTATTGATCATATTTCGTCTATGGTGAATAGAGCCAGGGGTGTGCTTGGATTTATTAATCGGTGGTCGAAGGAATTCAATGACCCCTATGTTACTAAATCCTTATATACTTCCTTAGTTCGTCCTATCCTAGAATATGGATGCTGCGTTTGGAGCCCTCAGTACGGCGTCCATAGTAAACGCATTGAGTCGGTTCAAAAGAACTTTTTACTTTTCGCTCTACGCGGTTTAAATTGGGATGCAAACCAAAGATTACCTTCCTACTCTAGTAGACTCCTATTAATAAACTTGCCGTCCTTAGCCAATCGTAGAACAATGCTAGGGATAACCTTTATTTTTAACCTTATACATGGTGATGTGGAAAGTGCGGACTTGTTGAGTCCGCTTAATTTCCATGTACCATGTAGAACTACTAGATCCTATATCCCATTAGTGTTGCGTCACTGTAGAACCTCCTTTGAACTGCATGAATCTTTTAGAGTGCTATGTGCAAATTATAATGATTTGTACACACTAATCTCTAACGTAGATACCCTTCCCAAATTAAAATCTTTAATACTAACACACTTAGTAAGCATGCAAGCTAACAATCTGGCAGCACGCCGGTAGTCAATTTTCCTCGTATTCTGTCCTATATTTTCCATCGCCCCTACTAACACCTAACCCAAACAGGCACGTGCCTGGTGTCATACGGGCCACTTGAATGTACTGACCTTAGTGCATCAACGTCAAAAAAAAAAAAAAAAAAAAAAAAAAAAAAAATACATGAAAGCCATCGAGTAAACTAGTAATACTACCCCCGTTGATTTTTTCTGAACCAGACGCAAAAAAACAGAACAACTCAGGGTAAAATATGCAAACAAAATAAATAAATAAATATGGCGTGCAACTGTTTGGTAGGGTTAAAACGTATAATCTGTTTATGTTTTTTTTATATTTATTAAATCTCTGTGGCATTAAAAGTCGAGAAAAAATATAGAATTAATTGATTATACTCCAATGCTTAAGAGGTTATACCACCCTGACTTTATTGAAAAAACAATTTTTTTTAACTTAATTTTTATACCGATATTCTTACGGTAATTTTAAGACATCGGGCTTGAAAATATTTCATTATTTGTAAATTACAGTGATTACAATATATTACAATGATAAGAAGTGAGCGTTGCCGGTATACGTTCGAGTACCTTTATTTATCTTTTTTTGCGTTTTTCTCAAAACTACGTTTTTTTAAAACGGAGCACATGGTTTCTCAAAAACTATTGGACAACTTCTCTATAGCATGACGTAGAATTTTTTGATACCATTTATTTTTAAAAAGTTGTAATTTTTAAATCAGAAATTTCGTTAATAAAATTTGTATATATATTTTAGTCAAAAAAAATTATTTAACGGCTGTAGCTGTATTTATATAGTTTAAAAAAGAAGATAAGAATTGTGTTGTCCAGCATGTATACAATACGCCAAATTCCTTCTTAGACTTTGCAAATATTTTTTAATCTTCCAATAATTATTTAATATCTATTTCTAGTTTACCATATGTACTTTGATGTTCCAATTAATAAATATTTTTAATAGATTTGTCAAAATTAATTTTTTAAATACCCTTCTGTTTTCGGGCGTTCTGGGTGGTCAAACAGCTTAATCTATTACAAATTGTCTTAATATGCTTTTTTTTTGTAATAAGTAGTCAAAGGTATACAAAAAATCAACATTAAACATTTTTTAATTTAGTCTTCAAAATATATTTATTTTATAAAAAAAAAAACAAGGAAACTAACCTCGGCACGCCAAAGATTGTATACCCTTGCAGATTCGATCACTAGTAATTAATACAATATAAATTAAATATTTATGTAAAAATCAATGAAATTATGCTTCATTTTATATCATATACCTATACATAGCTATACGCCTTAATTTTTCCCTTCTCTTCTTCGCTTAAAAAGCTACCATGCGGCATTTTATTAAAAAATGAATAAAATATTTAACAAAATTATAAAAAAACCAATAAACACTAAATCTTCCTCTTTAGCCGCAATAATTGAAATGTGTCGTATCATTATAAAACAATTTCAAGGTAGCCTAAATCAGGGCGTGTGTGCTTTTTTTTACCGTTACTTGAAAACGAGTGATGCAAGCAAGGATAAGAATAGCTCATTTTGTGCACAACTCCTTGTGCTATTATTCGACATACTTTATTTTGATCTACTGTGTGTTTCCATTCTCCTACGACCGCTGAAACAAAAATTTCATAGGTGTCGTATAATTATGAACAGGAGTGTATATAAAGTTTTACATTTTTCTCTATATACAGGGTGCGGCAAGAAAACTTGCTGACTTTAGAAGGTTATAAAAAAAAGTAGTTGACATACCATTCCAATTTTTTTTTTATTCTTGTAACACACATGCTGAAGTTTCATTACACACTTTTGAAGATTACATCGGACAAGTGATGGCCGCCGTTTTCAATGCACTGAGATACCCGATTTTCGAAGCTCAGCTGAACTCTCAAGCATATCGACGGGTATCTTTGCGATTGCTTGCCGAATGTTATTCTCTGATGAGCTGGATGGGATTTTGTCACATTCCCGCTCTCCCTGAATGTTTTCACCCACGAAACAATCGACTGCCGGCCAGGAACGCGACCTGCAGGATGAATGTTGAGTTGAGTTTATAAAATTAAAACCGAAATTCAAGAATAATATAACATTTCTATATCCCAAATTTAATGAAAATCTGTTAAATTAAATTAATAAATTAATTTCTCGATCGTTCCTATGGCTGCTAATTCAATTTTTCAAATTTGTTAAAAATCACTTAAAAACTGGTCCAAACGTTTGTATGGCATATGATATAGTCGTCGGAGCAAGCCCGTTCCGACATATATACGAGTAAAAGTATATTGAAGACTAACCGCAACATTTTTTAAAACAGATTTCAAGTTACTACCAACTTAGGAAAGTTCTTAATAAGTGTTCCCACGGTCGCTAGACAAAAAAATGCAAGTTTAGCGCACGTGGAAAGTTTAGCTCCGTGAGGTTTATAGCAATGAAAATTCTGGATAAATTTCAAAAGAAGCTTATTGTCGAACTAGATTGTCATTTCCAATTCAAAGGCCAAACAGTTTACTTCCCAAAGGCTAATGCGGCACAACAAGCTGAGAGACCACCATCGACAATATTGACTAGCTTGTTTGCAATGTGTGAAGCATGCCTATTCGCAGCTACGCTTATGAACGTTGAAACGCCACAGGCGTTTTCCACTGATGCACTTGGTCGCATGTATACTGTTCATCCTAGACATGATGAATGTTTTTATTTGCGACTGCTGTTGGTAAATTTACGTAGACCTAAATCATTTGCGCATTTGAAAACTGTGAATGGTCAATACAATGGTGATACATTGCAGGATTTCTTTCGTCATAATGTGTCGTTGCTGAATGAACAGCAAAAACAACTATACGAAACATTAATGAAAGCGTTGGACAATAATACTGGGGGTGTTTTCTTCCTAGACGGACCTGGAGAAACAGGAAAAACATTTGTCATTTCATTGATTTTGGCCACGATTCAATCAAGATGTGACATAGCTTTGGCGTTAGCATCATCTGGAATTGCGGTCGTACTGAACATTCTGCACTTATGCCACTCAATTTAAATACAATTGATACTCCAACATCCAATATTTACCGATCCAGTGCAATGGGAAAATTGTTGATGCAATGCAAGCTCATTGTTTAAGATCAGTGCACAATGACACTTAACTACACACTGAAAGTTCTTCGTCGAAATAGCAAAATCTTTGGCGGCTTGATGGTATTGTTGACAGGCGACTTCAAGCAAACGTTCCTAGTAATTACCCGTAGATTTAATGCATGTGCATTAAATGCTTGCCTAAAGGCACCACCTTTATGGAATAACGTAAAAAAATTATCGCTAACCACTAATATGAGAGTTAAACTTAAAAATGATCAAAGTGCTGCTCAATTTTCTAAACAATTGTTAGCTGTTGGAAATGGAAAAGTCCCAGTTGATGAGACACCTGGATTAATTATTTTTTATATAATTTCACCATTCAATCAAAAGTTGCTGGCGATTTGGGGACAACAAATCCAACAATCCATAACAAATCCCGATGATGTAGTAAATTATCCAACGTAGTTTCGTGTCGAATTTGATTGAGGCAACCTTATTAACTGAAAGTACAAAGGTGCAAATGTAACATATGTATTCCTCCACTACCAATGATACCGATCTTTCGTTTGACTTCAAACGATTGCAATTTCCAGTTCGCCTTGCTTTCGCTTAGTGTTTGTAGGATAAATTTAGAAAATCATTGTTTTTCACATGGACAGTTATATGTTGCGTGTTCTCGAGTTGAAGGAGTCATCTCCCACCATATAAAGTATATATATTCTTGATCAGCATCAACAGGCGAGTCGATCTAGACATGTCCGCCTGTCCGCCTACGCAAACTACTCTCTCAGTGTTGAAGCTATCTGAATGAAACTTTGCAGTTTCTTTATACTCTCATTCGTGTATAAATCGGAATGGGCCGGATCGGACGACTTTATCATATAGCTGCCAAAAGAACGAGCGGGAACTTTATATATTATTCTAGTTTTTTATCTTAAATGTTATGAAAATCGGACAACTATATATAGTATATCGCTGTAATATAAACGATCCTTAGATGTAGAGGAAAATGCAAAACTGAGAATGTAAAACAGTAATTATAATATGTGATCGAAGTGCCATCTACAAGGGTTTATAAACTTCAGCGTGCCAAATTTATCTTCCTTGTTTTTTTTTCTTCTCTTTTGTTTTGTTTTTCTTCTTTTGATTTGTTTTCTTCTCTTTTTATCCTGAACCTATTATATATACTATGTTAATATTGTAGACCGTGCTAGCATTGAATATTTTATTTTACTCGTAACATATAACCATAAAAATATTTTTTTTCTCTTTTTAGAGACCATGCATGAAGAAAATGTATGTACACAAAAATCACAAAAAGTATATCACAAAGACCATAAATCGAATGGAACTTCAAATGAAACTAGCAATAAATCAGGTCAGTAAAACGAGGGAAAAATATTTTTGTTATTAATATATATGTATATATTTATGTATTAATATCATATTAAGTATTTATCTATACCATACAAATGTAGCCTTAAAATGTGTGCGGAAGCTACAAATTTCAAGCACTTTGTTTTAAAATGGCAGTTAGAGTATGTGGCCAGGATTTAAAAAATAAGAATGTGAACTTTTCTATAACGTTCTTAAAAATGACAGTGTTTTTTGATTTTAATTACTAACTTATTTTTTATTTTAAAAGCTTATGTATGTATATTATTAAGTCATATAGCATTTAGGGTGCCACTATTATAGTTTAAAGTTGATGTACTAAGTTGATTGACTTAAAAATTTGGATTTTATTCATATATTTTGCTGTGGGGATAGTAAGAGCTAGGGTGGGAGAGTATTAAAATTTCTGATGTTACTAATTTCTGGGCATTTAGCATTTATATTTTCTGGACTGAATGATTGCAGGAGCAAGAAGGCGAGTTGGATTTTTTCAATAAATGTTTATGCCATAAGACTTTATGATAATGTGGGTCAACAACTTAAGATTCCATCTGTAAAAGACCCATTCCTGTCGTCGTAGACATGGCTTTCCATTAAAATTAAAATTAATTAAAATTTGATTACATAAAGCCTTTTTTTTAGTTTTTGCCTAAGCTCAGTAAAATGGTCGAAAGTGATATCTTGGTTATATAAATGCTATGGTAAAAAGGACTACGGATTGCGGTATCCGTGTGGGATACCATTTTGAAGTTTAAGCCCGGAACGTGTGCCGACCCAGTACTTTTACGTGGTTCCGTTACGTAGACGATGGAGCATATCCTGAAATTTCAGCAATTCATCAATAGTTATTTGCTTAAGTTTGAAGGCAACTTGGTTTTGAAAGATCACTTTTTTTTAGAGTTCTATTATACCCTTGCAGAGTATTATAATTTCAATAAGAAGTTTGCAACATAGTGAATGAGTCACCCTCATATAAAGTATGTATATTCTTGATCTGTATTAACAGCCGAGTCGATCTTGCCATGTCGGTCTGTTCGTTTCACGCAAACTAGTCTCTCAGTTCTAATGCTATAAATATAAGAAAATTTTGGAAAAAAACTTTTCAGCTTTCAAAAGATTTTCATCAAATTTGAGATAACAAATAGGCATTTTATCGAATTTTTACCGGGTGGGTTAAGAACTGATGACCGCCAAATTTATTTATTTTTTTATTAAGTTTAAATTTGTTTAAGTTACTCAGTAGAAAAGAAGTGACTGTAAGTTTTGGTCATTTCGTGATCTGCTGTCGATCTGATAGAGCTGCTTGGACTCTAGCTAATGGAGCTTCTTTTGGAGCTGATTAGGTAATATGGTGATGGACGTTAATGCACTATGGTCAGTACACTCATGTGGCCCGTATTAAACCAAACATGTGCCTTTTGGGTTAGGTGTTAGCAGGCGCGATAAAAAAAATATAGAAGAGTACGAGGAAACTAACTATCGGCGTGTTGCCGGAATTTGTCTGCATGTGAACTAAGTGGGTTAGAATTAAAGTTTTTAGTTTGGCAAGACTATCTATGTTAGAGATTAGTGTGTATAACGCTATATAATTTGCACATATAAATATATAAAAGAAAGTCGTGTCTGTTACACCACTTATAACTCAAGAACGGCAGAACAGATTACAAAAATGGAAAATTTGTAGGGAGGTAGCTTAGAGACAGAAGACGGACATAAGATACTTTTTATCCCGTTCGACAGAAAAGCGGGATAGCCATCGCTGATATATAGCATTTACTACAAACCAATATATCAACTAGTCGTTTCTTAACATTTCAATTAAAAACAATAAAATAAATAAAGGCATTTGTCTTTAAGGTGATAATTTGAAATGTGTTAATTATGTGGATCCTGCATTTGAGGTTATAGTCCAAAAGGACGACGTGTATTCACAGAACTTAAACGAAAAAAGACAAAATATAATAAGAGAGTGTCCTGTTGAGAAAACGCGTGAGGACACGAAGATCATTGACATCAACGGAGAACTATGATGATGAAAATTTAGATATTGGACCAATGACGACTATACGCCGATATTGCAATGCATTAAATTTCAAGAGAGAAATGGCTGGATTATGCGCAAGTGGAAAAGTTAAATTTGCGTCATCCAATTTTATAACTTGATATCCAATTAAGAAGATCAATTGGAAAACCCATTAAATCGAGTTTTCCAACAAGGAGGGAAAGGTTAACAGAGTAAAATGCTTTACTTCCCATAGGGGAAGGCAATGGAAATATACAGTAAACGGAACTTTATTTATATACTAAGCATATATGTATGTACGTAAGCGGGGGCCAAAGATGCTGTCTTCGCGGCGTATTCAGATCCTGCGTGGCTCCCTGATCGTCCGGAAGCTCTGTGAAGTCGCACCAAAGACTATACAATTTACAAGATGCCTCACGACCATACATTCGTTTTGCAATATGGGGTTCATTTTTTGATTCAAACGACAATGGCGCTCTCCCTGCTCTCACAAAGTTGAGAGTGTAAAGATCTAAAAATAGAATACGTTTGCATGTATGAGTAAACACAGAATTCTTGTTAATTCCCTCCAGTACCTGTCATCAACAATTCATCAACGTTTCATCAACAGTCAAGGGGGTTCTGTTGATTTTTCATCGATGACAGGCCATCTGTTGATTTATTTAACATGGGCATGTCCTAGGCTGTCATCAATAAAAATTCATCAAAAATAAATCGATGATTCATCAACACATCATCAACAAATTCTTCAACAATTCATGAACAAATTTCTCAACGGCCGGGTCATGGGACTGCCGACGAATGCCGTCTAGACGGCCTAGTAGAAGTCGCAGTCGGCAGAGGGTCGACTCGGTAGAAGTCGCAATCGGCAGAGCGTCCCCTCGGTAGAAGTCGCAGTCGGCGTTGATGACATGTTGATGACAGAGGTCTATTGATGACACACGGTACTTCAGGGTCTAGACTCTAGAGTCTAGAGCCAGCACGAGAGAGCATCTGGTTCTAGAGCGCTCTCTCGCTGACTTTTGAACAAAATGTGAGACAGCCTGGAGCCAGTTTAAAAGCCAGCACGAAAAAATCGTGTGCAAGCCTTTGAGGTTTTCAAATTAATGAGAAGAGGCCTTTGGGGTCTACAACAGTCTCAATCAATTTACCTTAATCAGAAATTCACGTCAATAGCTTAGTTATACGTATATATATATTATTTAAAAAGAATCTTGATATTTATGCGTCAGGTAACAGTATTAGCACCGTTCTTGGTAGCTATATTCTTGTAGGACTTGCGAATTTTTTTTTCACGGAATCGATCGAATTCTGTTTCTTTAACTGAGAAATTTTAAAAACTTAGATATGTATTAATATGATGATCCAAAGCGTGTCTTAAAACTTCTAATCTTTTTACAGTTAGCTTATTCAACAAAAAAAATGATGACAGTGAATACGACTTGGTACCACCTGATGGTGGCTGGGGTTGGCTAGTGCTTTTGGGCTCGTGTTTGACCAATATCCTCATTCCTGGCACGATAAAAAGTTTCGGTGTTCTATTCGTTGAATTCACTGAAGCCTTCAACTCCTCGCCTACAAAGGCTTCCTGGATACCAGCGTTGTGCTACTTTCTCTATAGTTCGTTGGGTAAGTTCAAAGCTTATTATGAAAGTGTAATCTTGTTTAATTTTTTAAATTGTTATTAATAGGTCCTGTGTCAAGTATCCTTTCCGTCAAATATTCATATCGAACCGTTACTCTCCTGGGCGGAGCGTCAGCATCTTTAGGTATGATACTTTCATTCTGGGCATCATCGATTGGGTACCTGTATATCAGGTAATTATACCGCACAAATTACGGCTATAATGCTATTCATGATTCTTTGATTTACAGTTATGGCGTGCTTGTAGGCATTGGTGCCGGTCTTTCCTTCCCACCTACAGTGTATATTGTGACTTCATACTTTGCGAAATTACGGGGATTGGCGAACGGTCTGTGCATCTCAGGGAGTGCACTCGGCAGCATCATTCTTCCTCCACTTTTGCGCTGGTTACTTGAGACCTATGGTTATCATGGATCGTGCCTCATAATGGGGGGCATTACCCTCAATGTGTTTGTAGCTGCTCTTTTTTATGAGCCTGTGGAACAACACATGGTACGTGTTCTACGTGCCCGCCAGACTTTGGAAGACATACCTGAAGAAGAGGACATTGGAATAGTGATGAAATTCGAGAACGTTGACGATAACGTAGTAGGCCAGGAGCAAGCTGATAAGCACCTACTACCCCATAACTCGCCACCTTCCCCCTATATCTACCAGAGGATGAGAAACAGCTGTTCGTCCGTAGTGCTTCCGCAGCTGTTGTTCAAAGTTACTCCAAGCCTGGTGATGAATTCCAATCTCGAACTCGAAAAATAAGTACCCCAGTGAGGTTGCCGCAAAGGAATCAAACCTTTACGCCCGGCCAACTGAACTCACAATCTTCTTTGTATGCTGTACCGGAGACTCGCTCTAGTTCAAACAAACTCTCTCTTAGAAATTCCTCAAAGTCGAGACTCTCTAAGCGTTCGCCATCAACTAGTAGCTTTCTGTATGTTAGCACACCATATCACGGTAGTACTTTGTCATTCCAGCCAAAGGAATTTTCTTCGCACATGTCTCTTCGTTCAATGGGCAGTAACAGCGGAGCGGGCGTGGTAAGTGACTCTTCGTGTCCAGAAATGTCTGGCACTACCGATGCAGCTCGGGGTAAGGCACAAGCACCACAACGGTCAAAGTTTTTCGATCTTAGCTTGCTAAGGGACCCGATGTACTTAGTCATACTAATCTCTAATTCGACAAATGCCATCAGCTACACGAATTTTATAATTTTGCTTCCAAGTTTTGGAGAAGCCAGAGGCTTTAACAAATCTTTATCAGCGTACCTACTATCCGTTGTTTCCGCCACGGATCTTATCGGTCGTATTGGAGGCTCAGCACTTTCTGACATGGGGTACATACCTAAGACGTGGTACTTTGTTGGAGGCTTGTCTATATCGGGTCTTTCTCTTGCATTGCTGCCATTTGCATGGTCATACAGCTCAGTTTGTTTCTGGTGTGCCCTCTTCGGTCTTGCTTCTGGAATCTACGTGGGGATAACGGCTGTGATCATGGCAGATATGTTAGGTACCGAACGGTTAACGTCATCCTATGGCATCAGCCTTTTTGTTAACGGCTTGTTGCAGTTAGTTGGTCCGCCGCTTTGTAACTTCTGGTTTGAGGCGGTCAATGACTATAATCCGCTCTTCCATGCTTTAGGACTGACGCTGCTGGCTGGGGCCAGCCTTTGGAGCTTTATGCCATGGATAAATCGACGAAAGGCTAAAAAAGAAAGAAAACTCGATACGCTACAAACCGATGAAGAGGCCGTCGATAGCTACTAAACAAACATCAGGCACAAAACACTGACCGTATAAAAAACGTACAACTAAAATTATTTATTAGGCTTTAAATGGCGTACAAACAGTGATGAAAATACATACTTGTAAATGCGTTTACCGGCCAGAACTATAAAACAAACGTTTTGACCGCTGTTAAATTGTTACTTCCAGCAGTTTTGTCTTACTGTTAAGTCGTAACTATAACATTGTATAATTACCATAACTATTGTTTACTTAATGCTAATAATATAATAGCCTAGGCAGTATAAAAATTAATAATGTAGATCAAATAAAAAAGATTTTATAACTATTTTTTCTATAAAATGCCAAAAAATATGTAAAATAATTAAAAAAAATTAAAATAGTTAACGAAAATACAAATCAATTTGTTTTAATAATAATTATTTAGATTTAAACATGTTTAAGGTTAAAAAGACAAAACGAAATTGGACTTTTTATAAACGGTTATGCCGCACCGGAACTCTGAACATATTTTTTTGATAATTCGAAAACATTATTTGTATACATTGACAAAAAATATAAATTGAAGTTTTTCTTTTGCTTTAAAAGAAAGTCAACATTTTAGTTTTACTTCGTACATTGTTTTATAATACGAGAAATGAACCACCGGCGTGAGGGCTGGTTTTTGCTTTCATGCGTACTAAGTGGACAAGGATTAAGGATTAAAAATAGCACAATAGCACATTACACACCCATTAGGTTTCATATTTTCATGTTTCATGTTTTGTCCAATCCGCTTCTGAGTGCGAATTCGGGAATCGCGACCGGGTGCTCCTCGATCCGGTCTCGAAGTAGCAACTCGCTCCGCAGTCAATTATCTGGGGACATCGTCGGCGACCAATGAACCTTTGGAGAACCAATAAAAAAACAATTTCTAAGGACGCGAAGTAAATAAATAGGGCGGCGTAGGACAGGGCCACAAAATTCAACGCCACGTATCACAAATGGGCGTAAAGCACGGATCCTATCTGCGGGTAAATTTCTCATAATTTGTGTCATCAATCGAGCATTGCACACGTGATCGAACTCTAACTGGATGGTCACAAGTGCTCGTGGACCGACATGAAAGTTTGAATTATGCAGATGCCAGACGTAGCTCTGCACAAATTGGGAGCGTTTCGTTAACCACAAGAGAAAATTGGAATCGTTTAAAATAAATGGGTTCAATCGCCGGAGATTCGTCCCAACCTTGGAGGAACCTGCACAAAATTGTTACATTTTGCTTTTGAATACCTGCAAAAATCGTATACTATACTATAATCGAAAACTATACTCTTGTCTTTGTATTTTCTTATGAAGCGGAACGTATATATAAACGAACAGTCAGGTGTGGCGGTAACACTTAGCAACTCTGAAGTTTGAAAATTAGCTTCAGAATCCGACCAGTATTATTAGGACCCGTTCGATTAGGAAATTAGGATTGATCATTTCATCTTTCCAAGTGAACGGACGTGTTATTTTCTTGCGCTCTCTTTTTGTGTTAAAATTTCAAAATAACCACCGTGGTTAACTTAAATGTTCTATTTTGTGTTAAATACTTCCCGTCCACTTCGCGTGTGCATGCAGCTATTTTGATTTGTCTTTATAATTGGTTTAATTTCCCAACTAAGTTGTGCTGCTAGTGTTAGCTTTTGCATATTTTGCATTCCTTTTTGTGCCTTCTTCGTCTAGCTTTTGTTTGCGCCGTCGCAACAGCTAAACGTTTTATCTATCTATCTCCCACGCTCTCTCACTCTCTCGCTTTAGCTGTGCCGCTGCACTTCTTATCTCATCTGATCTCATTCGCTCTCCCGCTCTCTCGCTCTCGCTGAGACTCTTCACTTCTTTCTTAATAGCTCTGTTGTTATTTTTTCAAAGTACAAGTACAGTGGTAAGTCCATATAATGTCCGGAAATATTGTCTGTTTCGTCAAAACCTGCAAAAAGGCAATTGCTGCAGGTGACCTTACAATCGGCTGCTGGCTGTGCGACAACGTCATGCACGCCAAGTGTATTGGAGTTGCAGCTCGGACGGTGGACGATGTAAAAAAAAACATCGGCCTGCGTTTCTGTTGTGAGGCCTGTCGCGTATAGAAAGGGAGATGATGTCTTTCATGCGGCAAACCAAAAGCGGTTTTAAGGGCATTTTAACGAGTTTTCGTAAAACTCTTGATATGTTCTTGGCGCTGGACACCCAATTTAATAGCCTTACGCTATTAAATGAGTCTCCTAGGCGCAAAAAAACTGCTACTGGTGGGCAGCATGTAGACGGACCCCAACTACCTGCAACGGGCTCTCAGCAGCAGCCTCCCTCGGCACAGCCCTCGACCTCAGCATTAATTCCAAGAGTGCTGAGATCGAGCGCTAGAAAAGATTCGGTATTCGAATGTGCAGCGGGAGTGCCCGTACCGCCGGTGATTTCTGTTTTATCCCCTGGGGGGTCGCAAATATTGACCCCTCAAAGTCCCGTTCACACAAATATATCTGCCCAGGGTGTTAGGCCAGAAATACCGGCCGACAATGGCACGGCAGATAACCAATCTGCATTGCCAAAAGCCCTTATAGCTGTTCCACCAACGAGACATATTTTTGTCTCGCTGCTCTCCCCTGACCAAACATCGGAAGATGTTCTCGCCTTTATACAAGGCAAAACCAGAGCCGAAAAAATTAAGATAAAGGTGGAAAAGTTCAAATTTTCTTACGCAAGGGACATTTCATCTTTCAAAACAAATGTCCCTAACGAGCTCTTTAACACTATTTGCTCTCCCAACTTCTGGCCAGAGTACATCGTTGTTAAGGAGTTCGAAGCGAAGAAATAGAAAAAACGACCTGAATGAATAACTCTTCCCAGGCCTGATCATACCACTGCGCCTTCTACGTCTTCCAATCCCGATCCAAAAAACTAACCCACTCCCTAGGTATTTCCTATCAGAATGCAAGAGGCTTACGTAGTAAGCTTCCTAACTTGTATTCGTTTGCATCTCAGGTTATTGTGTTCACAGAAACCTGGTTAAAGCCGGAGATTCTGAGCTCCGAAGTTTTTCCAGCTGTGTTCACAGTAAATCGGCTAGATCGCCCTATCAGACGCGGGGGTGGAGTTCTTATAGCGGTGGACTCCTCACTCACGTCAGAATTATTAACCTTCGAGGATTGCAACGATGTTGAATTCCTCTGTGTGAAGCTATCTGTCGGAACTTCCTATTTATTGGAATCACCTTTCCGCTATTCAGATGGTTTCCAGTAGACTTTTGGATAGAGACCAGTTGGTAGTTCTAGGAGATTTTAATATCCCTGGTGCTATTTGGTGCTCAAATAATTCCACCAATACTCTCCATACACCTACACAACATGACTTTATCGCTGGCTTGTTTGACATTTCGCTGTCTCAAGTCAACCATGTTCGAAATTCCTTACAGCGCTTGCTCGATCTTTGCTTCGTCTCTGATCCTGCGAGAGTCAGTTTAGCAAGGGTGGCGCCTCTGACGCAGCACGAAGATCCTTATCATCGAACTTTCGATGTGACTCTTGATATTGGGTGTGACGTACAGAATATTTCTGACCGTCCAGCCAATAAAGTCCTATGTTTTCGCAAAACGGACTTTGAACGGCTGAATAATTTTATAAACGAGTTCAATTGGTCTGATCTATACATGTGCACTGACATGGCTCTTGCCGTGGATATTTTTTACAGTGCCATGAATTTATTTTTTACTGAATGTGTTCCGTTATATTATCCGCCAAGCTCGAATAAACTGCCGTGGTTTACTAAAGAGTTGAGCCGACTTAAAAATAAAAAATCTAAACTGTATGCTAAATTTAAAATCACCGGTTCTCAATCTGCCCTTTCATCTTATTTATCAGCTCGGTCAAACTTTACCGTGCTGAACGCGCAGTGTTATAAAAACTATTTAACTCGTTGTAGGGCCCAGTTCTCACAGGACCCAAAACAGTTTTATAATTTCGTTAACACTAAACGTAAGCCTAAAACAAATCCTTCCTCGCTTTCATTTGAAAATACTAATGCAAATAATGATCAGGCAATAGCCGATCTATTTTCGCAGTTTTTTCAAACAACCTATTCTAGCTCTTCGTATCTACACCAGACCTATTCCTACGACATACCCAAATCAAACTTAATTTTCTGTCATAGCCTAAACGAAAGCTCTCTCCTTTTAGATCTTCATCGTATCAAGCCAGTTTATTCGCCAGGTCCCACGGAATTCCTGGCTGTGTGCTCAGGTATTGTGCCGACGCCCTGTGCTATCCCCTTTTGAAATTGTTTACCTTGTCCTTGGAAACCTCCCACTTTCCCATTATTTGGAAGGAATCGTTTATTATTCCTCTCCACAAAAAAGTTTGCAAATTGGATGCCAGCAATTATAGAGGAATCTCTAAGTTGTCGGTCATCCCTAAATTATTTAAAAACATTATCACCCCTCACTTACAGCACCTTTGTAGATCGGTTATTTCTCTATGTCAACATGGTTTTATGAAGCGAAGATCAACAACAACAAATCTTTTGGAGCTCTCTTCCTATATTATAAAGGTCTTCCATAATAATTGTCAGACAGATGTAATCTATACTGATTTCAGTAAAGCATTTGACTCTTTTAACCATTCTCTCCTCGTTAAAAAACTCGATTCAATGGGTTTTCCAAGTGATCTTCTTAATTGGATCTCAAGTTATTTGAATGGCAGGACGCAAAAGGTCCTCTTTAAGAATAATTTATCCAATGTTCTACGGGTTACATCTGGCGTCCCGCAAGGAAGCCATTTGGGACCCTTATTGTTTACATTATTTATAAATGACCTGCCCCAAGTCTTGACTAACTCCAGAGTACTTATGTACGCGGATGACGTCAAGCTTTGCGTGCAATACAATGACGTTGCCTGCCAGTCGAATTTACAAACAGATCTTAATCATTTTCAAACTTGGTGCCGTGTAAACTTATTAAACTTAAATGACTCGAAATGCAAGCTAATGACATTCTCACGTGTCGTTCCTAAGCTTGCTACTCACAAGCTGAACTGCTGCTCTTTGGAAAGAATTAATTCTGTTGACGATTTGGGCGTCCGCTTGGACCCAAAACTTGACTTTATTGATCATATTTCGTCTATGGTGAATAGAGCCAGGGGTGTGCTTGGATTTATTAATCGGTGGTCGAAGGAATTCAATGACCCCTATGTTACTAAATCCTTATATACTTCCTTAGTTCGTCCTATCCTAGAATATGGATGCTGCGTTTGGAGCCCTCAGTACGGCGTCCATAGTAAACGCATT